CCCCCCTGGTGGTTGATGTGAAAGACCACTGTGGTGTTGTCTGACCTCACCAGCACGTGCTTCCCCCGCAAGCCTGGAAGAAAGCTCTGAAGAGCCAGAAGTACAGCCTGTAACTCCAGGACATTGATGTGTTCCCTGCCCTGCCGCTGGGACCATGTCCCCTGTGCCATTTGACCCCGCCAGGTTGCACCCCAGCCTGTGGAGGATGCATCTGTAAACACAACTTCCCGACGACACGGGAGGGAACCGAGCGGGACCCCTGTGGTCATAAACAACCTCACCCTCCATTGGGACAGAGACTGAAGACACTGAGGCCCCACCCGAAGTCTTCGGAGACGATGAGTGTTCCGTGTGGGATCCAGATTCAAGCTGTTCAACCACATCTGGAGGGGCTGCAATGACAGCAGCCCCAAGGGCACTACGGCGGACGCAGCTGTAAGCATGCCCAAGAGTCGAAGATACCGCACAAGAGGCAGCGCCATGCCGCGCCTGAATTCCGGGAGCACGCTCAATATACTGTCCATCCGCTGGGGTGACGGGCAAGCAGTCATTGAGATGGAATCCATGGCAATGCCCAGGAAGACAGTCTCCTGTGAGGGAGTCAGACTGCTTTTCTCCATGTTCACCTGCAAGCCCAAACATCTCACATGATGGAGCACTAACCGAGTATCTCGAACCGCCTGGTCCCACGTCGCGGCACAAATGAGCCAGTCGTCCAGATATGGCAGGATCCTCAATCCCTGTGCCTGCAGAGGAGAGAGGGCCGCTGCAACACATCGGGTGAACACCCTGGGGGACAGTGAAAGTCCGAACGGGAGGACCCTGAACTGGAAATGCCTCCCTTGAAAAGCAAAACGAAGAAACCGCCAATGGGGCGGAGCGATCGGAACGTGAAAATAAGCCTCCCTGAGATCTATGGAAGTGAACCAATCGCCTGGGGAAATCGCCTGCAACACTTCCTTGGTGGTCAGCATATGAAAGGGCATGGCCTTCAAGTACACATTCAGGCCTCTGAGGTCCAAGACTGGACGCAGGCCCCCGGTCTTCTTCGGAACCAGAAAATACATGGAATAAAAGCCACCTGGATCGAGCAGGGGGTCCACAGGCACTATAGCACCCTTGGCCAGCAAGGTGCAGATTTCTTGGTTCAGTGCCTGTGCCTTCACCGGGTCGTGGATCACAGTCATCCTGACCCGGCCAGGGATAGGTGGCCGGCGGCGGAATTGAAGACGGTACCCCCCGGGACAGGGTGGACCCACACCCACAAGTCCGGGGTGTGGGCAGCACAGAAGCTGAGCTGTCCCGGGGAAAAATAACCGACCGCCGGCCCTAAGGCATCATCTGCGGCCCCCCCGGCCCTTCGAAGGCCCGGGAGGACGCCGGCCAGACTGCGCGGCTCGAAAGGGATGAAAGGACCTTGTCCCAGCCTGGTCTCGAGCTCTGTTCCTCCGATCTAGAGCAGGTCTCTGGACCGATCTCCGACCTGGTAACAGACCCTGGGGCTCAGTGGGAGAAGGAGAAGGCACTGAGGACCTCCGTGAAGGACCCACAGCTGCCCAGGTGCTTACTGGCTGGCGATCACGTCTGTGAAGCCCTGCCAGCTGTTGCCTCGTTCTAGAGGCCTGAGCTGTACGGTCCAAGGCGTCCAGTGCCGCAGAACCAAAAAGCTCCCCCTGGACAACAGGCAGGGCCCGGAGGGTCCTCCTACAAGGCTCAGTTAGTGGTGAATGCGCCAACCAGACCTGGCGGCGAGCATGAACCAGTGTGGAGAGTGTGCGTCCAAGTTCCCTCGTCATATGAGCAAAGGCCTGCAGAGATGCATCAACCAGGCCTTGCGTGGCATGATCCAGCGGAACAGATTCCAAGGAGGAAGACAGGGCCAGCATAAGATGGGAGAGAGAGTTCCCAATCCGGCCCATGCGGGCCCCAGAGTCATAGGCCTTGCAGAGAAGGTCGTCGGTAATACGGCACTGAGGACGCGGACAACGGGCATTGGGCCGCAAGGCCTCATCAGGCGGGATAATAAGAGAGGCAATGCCCGGTTCCACCGCTGGCATCTGCCCCAAGCCAACCTTGGGTGCCTCCTGCATAGCTGCCAGGACCCTGCCATCCGTTGTCAGATGTGAAAGCGCCTTGGTGTCTGACCAGCAAGCATGCAGTTCCCGCACATACTCCGCCGAGGGAGGAACCACAAAGGCAGTCTCTGACCTACTGCGCCTAAAGAAGGCGCTGGAAGCCGTAGGCTGGGCCTGAGGAACACTAATTTGTAAATGGGCAAGAGCCGTTCAAATAGCGGATGTCACAGACTCCCCTGTATCCTCCTGGGAGGCAATGGAGTCCGACCCAGAGGCCCCGGAGCCCAGCTCCGGAAGGTCCTCACAGAAATGGGTGCCAGAGGCCGCCACAGAAACAGCATCGCCGTCATTGACTGACGTTTCATCCTGCTCGGTAGGGAGAGCCGTGCCACGATCACCAGCAGTCTGAAAGGACTGGAGGACGGCTTTCATTTGGGCCAGCTCAGTAGTGAGATGATCCACTCTCGTGGCCACCTCCCTGCATCGGTCCGTCTAGCACGCTTTGTCGGTACCGAAGGTGCAGCCACAGTAGATCGTTTGCACACTGCTTTCTCCATCGGCAAATGAGCACGCGGCGAAGCGCCCGCCCAGTCGGTAGGCTGCTCCAGTGCAGCCAACCGATCCAGTCTGACCGACCGGGGCATGACACGACAGTTGGGGCAAGCGTCATGACAGCGCCTCCCGGAGATGTTCCACACCGAGGCAGGAGGGACACAAGTCATGCCCGTCATCGGGCTGAAGTGGAGCCAGACAGGTCGAGCAACATAAATGATCCAGCATCATACTGCTGAAAGGAGTGATCAGCCCGCCACCAATGACAAGTCAACATGAGCAGGAAACGCTACTGGCGACTCCGTCGTAGGAAAACCCCCGTAGAGGTTCCAAACTCAGCGTGAGCAGAAACGCCACTAGCAAATCGATTATTAACTAAAGATGAACTCAGCACGAGCAGAGACGCCACTGGTGAGTGTAGATAAACAAACTGTAGAAGAACTCAACGCGAGCAGAAACGCTACCGGTGGGCTTAGGCAAACAAACTGAAAACAACTCAGCGCGAGCAAAAACGCTACCGTGAGTCAAAAGAGCCACAAAATTAACGTGGCAAATCAAAGCGAACAGTAAACTACTGCTGAGAAGAACGAAAACTTACCAATCACCGCAGATCTGGTAAGGTGAAAGCAGCTTGTGCAGCCCCTGGAGGGCGAAACTTACCCGCAGCTCCGACCAAACCCGGTCACGGGGCTACCAGCAACAAGCAGCCAGGAAACTAGCGGTCTACACAGAAGCAACCAGCTTCACACGACCACACTCCTGTACTCAACACACCTGCGCGCGAGAAGAACAAAAGGGATTGATTGCCGGGACCCACGTGACTATATAGAGTCACGTGGGTCCCCGGCAGGTCACAGCTGACTTTGTTGTCATTAATACTTGACCTGCGCATGCGCATGAATGATCATTCAGTGCTTGAAGCACCGCCTCTGGCATCAGTAGGGATGAAATAGAACAATGATTCCAATATGGAAATTACAGACGGTAAGCCCCGCCCTCGCACACATTAAGCCCCCTCCCACAGGGCCTGGGGAAACGTTTTGTTCGGATCAACATATTATATGTTTCTATGTTTTTCAGAGTGTATGTTAGAGTTTATGTGGTCAGATGGTACACCTTTCCACTGAACCTTCAATTGCTTTTGCAATATAATTTAGAAAAATGTCATTTCAAACCGCAGAGGCGCTCAGTTTTAGTCACAATACATTTAACAAGAGTAGGACACTAAATTCCTCCCTTAGGTGGCGACAATATGATTAAAGTGGGCATGCTGCCACTCAGACGGGAACAGAGAGTTGCAGCTATAGCACCTAGATCTATGCATTATAGTAGAAGTAAGAACTTTGTCATGCAGATGTTACAGTAAAATCCTGCAGCGCTGGATTCTGGACAAGTAGGTCATGAAACACCTGGAGTAAAACATCCACATGGTTGTTCTTAGTGCAAAGGAATACCGGTTTAAAATAATCACAATTTAGATTTTTTATCAAAATCCTTCAGCATTAGTAGTTAGACCTCCGTTATGAGGATGTCATTCATGTATGGTAAGCCATTAGAAGATTTATTCAATATCTCTGACATCAGTCATTATTTCTGTTTATTAGTTTGCATCTCAGCAAATCTCATAAATCATTTTAAATGAATCTATTTTAAATAAAGACGGTTGGCTGTGCAGAGCGCCAGCTACAACAACCAGCCGCCGCACAGCGTTTCCCCCCCAGACTGATGAACAGAGAAGTCAAAGCGTGTGAAAATATTCCATCTTTATTCATATAGATCCCAGAATGTGGTCGTTATCAGAACAGGATCGTTTTAACATCTATTCCTCATTAAGATGGAGCAAAAAGTCCCGTTCATTGAAAAACTGATTCTGATGCGTTGGTCACACAGTCGGCCATATTTAGGCACTAACCTCGCTTTAAAATACTGTCACTTCTGACCAATAGATAAAGTAGTAAACTAGGGACGACTAACCTTAGAGGCAGGCAGCCCTATGAGACGCCTCGGCCTCCTGCAGCTGAACCAGCTGACATAAATCCTGAACTCCAGCTTAACTAGATCAGATCTGTTCACTAATTCACCAGTAAAAGCCTTTAAATGATCACCAGTTATTTAGTGCAGCCCAGAAATGTGATTTAGTAAATTTCTGTACGCACTTAAAAAAACTTACCATTGGAAAAAATATGCATTGGTTGATTGAAAAAGACTTTTTATCTGCATAACTAATCCAACCTCAAACCCAGCCTGATAAAGTGGGAGGTGCTCAATCCATGACAGGAGAAAGACCCACAGAGACCAGTTTACCATTAACACTCCAGTCTGCATCCCCACCAGGAAGAATCTAAACTCCCTGTCTCTGCTTCCACCCCCCAGGTTCCCCATGTTGAACATGTCCACCCCCAGTGAGCTGAAGTCTCCCTGCATGACTCGCAATGGAATGGTGAAGCTGCCCCCCAGCCAGCCTAACGGACTGGGCAGCGCCAGCATCACCAAAGGGACGCCGGCCGCTAAGAACCGCCTATGCCAGTCCTCCTCCGTCCCCTCCATCCTGCCTCCTCCACCGTCCTCCCTCCCCTACCACCACCACCTGCACCATCTGGACGGCTCCGGCCTGCCGCACGCCGCCGCCCCCCTGCTGCCGTCCGACCTGGAGCCGGGGAAACCTCTGGTGGGACTGAAGCCGTCTCTCCGTCACCTTCACCCGATCACTTTGCCTAAACCTGTGCTGCTGGAGCGGCAGCTGGTCCTGGACGAGAAGCTCCTCAACCGCCTGCTGTGGTACTTCACCACCGCGGAGAAATGTGTGCTGGCTCAGGTGTGCAAGACGTGGCGGAAGGTGCTGTACCAGCCCAAGTTCTGGGAGGGTGTGACGCCCATCTTGCACGCCAAGGAGCTTTACAACATCCTCCCCAACGGAGAGAAGGAGTTTGTCAGCCTGCAGGCCTTTGCTCTGCGCGGCTTCCAGTCCTTCTGCCTGGTCGGCGTTTCGGACCTCGACATCTGTGAGTTTATTGACAACTACCCGCTGTCCAAGAAGGGCGTCCGTTATCTCAGCCTCAAGAGGTCCACCATCACAGACGCTGGCTTGGAGGTGAGTTTGGACCTGATGCGCAGCTGAAGCCTTCCAGCATCGCCGGGAGTTTGCTCTTATGTTTGACTCCTTTCAGGAAACTGTGCATTGAGTGCTGAGCAGTACCGCCATGCTCTCAGAACCAGGTCTGGGTTCTGCTGAGGTCTGATGGAAGCCCAGGTTGCTTTCTCATCTCCATTGTTGCTTCCGGTGTCTCTCATCTTCCTCTTGACTCCTTAGATCCTCTGAAGGATTCCGGTAGGAACCAGAACCACCATGTCACTGGTCCAGCTTGTGGGTCGAAATCAGGGCCTCCATGAATCTTTGATTCTGGTCGTCCTTGATTTCCACACCTATTGAAACCTAACTTTCATCTGATAAGAGGACTTGGGCAACTGAGCAACATCCTGGTTCTGGTTCTGGTTCTACATGCAGGCCCTGCCTGTGTAAAGTGGATCTGGATGTTCTGACTCCAGCTGCTACAAATTCTCAATGAATTCTGCTTGACAAACCTGTGAAGGCGGCACTTTTTCCTTCCACTGAACTTTCTACTGTTTGCTTGGATCCACCACTCTGTCAATTAGCAGCGTCTATAGCAACGAGCTGCTACTATAGCAACGAGCTGCTACTATAGCAACGAGCAGCTTCTATAGCAACGAGCTGCTACTATAGAAACGAGCTACTACTATAGCAACGAGCTGCTACTATAGCAACGAGCTGCTACTATAGCATAGAGCTGCTACTATAGCAACGAGCTGCTACTATAGTAACGAGCTGCTACTATAGAAACGAGCTACTACTATAGCAACGAGCTGCTACTATAGAAACGAGCTACTACTATAGCAACGAGCTGCTACTATAGCAACGAGCTGCTACTATAGCATAGAGCTGCTACTATAGCAACGAGCTGCTACTATAGCATAGAGCTGCTACTATAGCATAGAGCTGCTACTATAGCAACGAGCTGCTTCTATAGCAACGAGCTGCTGCTATAGCAACAAGCTGCTACTATAGCTACGAGCGGTTTCTATAGCAACAAGCTGCTTCTATAGCAACGAGCTGCTACTATAGCTACAAGCTGTTTCTATAGCAACTATCTGTTTCTATAGCAACGTGCTGCTGCTATAGCAACAAGCTACTACTATAGCAACGAGCTGCTACTAAAGCAACGAGCTACTACTATAGCAACGAGCTGCTTCTATAGCAACGAGCTGCTACTATAGCAACGAGCTGCTTCTATAGCAACGAGCTGCTTCTATAGCAACGAGCTACTACTATAGCAACGAGCTGCTTCTATAGCAACGAGCTGCTACTATAGCTACGAGCGGTTTGTATAGCAACGAGCTGCTTCTATAGCAACGAGCTACTACTATAGCAACGAGCTGCTTCTATAGCAACGAGCCGCTTCTATAGCAACGAGCTGCTTCTATAGCAACGAGCTGCTACTATAGCAACGAGCTGCTTCTATAGCAACGAGCTGCTACTATAGCTACGAGCGGTTTGTATAGCAACGAGCTGCTTCTATAGCAACGAGCTACTACTATAGCAACGAGCTGCTTCTATAGCAACGAGCTACTACTATAGCAACGAGCTGCTACTATAGCATAGAGCTACTACTATAGCAACGAGCTGCTACTATAGCATAGAGCTGCTACTATAGCATAGAGCTGCTACTATAGCAACGAGCTGCTTCTATAGCAACGAGCTGCTGCTATAGCAACAAGCTGCTACTATAGCTACGAGCGGTTTCTATAGCAACAAGCTGCTTCTATAGCAACGAGCTGCTACTATAGCTACAAGCTGTTTCTATAGCAACTATCTGTTTCTATAGCAACGTGCTGCTGCTATAGCAACAAGCTACTACTATAGCAACGAGCTGCTACTAAAGCAACGAGCTACTACTATAGCAACGAGCTGCTTCTATAGCAACGAGCTGCTACTATAGCAACGAGCTGCTTCTATAGCAACGAGCTGCTTCTATAGCAACGAGCTACTACTATAGCAACGAGCTGCTTCTATAGCAACGAGCTGCTACTATAGCTACGAGCGGTTTGTATAGCAACGAGCTGCTTCTATAGCAACGAGCTACTACTATAGCAACGAGCTGCTTCTATAGCAACGAGCCGCTTCTATAGCAACGAGCTGCTTCTATAGCAACGAGCTGCTACTATAGCAACGAGCTGCTTCTATAGCAACGAGCTGCTACTATAGCTACGAGCGGTTTGTATAGCAACGAGCTGCTTCTATAGCAACGAGCTACTACTATAGCAACGAGCTGCTTCTATAGCAACGAGCCGCTTCTATAGCAACGAGCTGCTACTATAGCAACGAGCTGCTTCTATAGCAACGAGCCGCTTCTATAGCAACGAGCTGCTACTATAGCAACGAGCTGCTTCTATAGCAACGAGCTACTACTATAGCAACGAGCTGCTTCTATAGCAACGAGCCGCTTCTATAGCAACGAGCTGCTACTATAGCAACGAGCTGCTTCTATAGCAACGAGCCGCTTCTATAGCAACGAGCCGCTTCTATAGCAACGAGCTGCTACTATAGCAACGAGCTGCTTCTATAGCAACGAGCTACTACTATAGCAACGAGCTGCTTCTATAGCAACGAGCTACTACTATAGCAACGAGCTGCTTCTATAGCAACGAGCCGCTTCTATAGCAACGAGCTGCTACTATAGCAACGAGCTGCTTCTATAGCAACGAGCCGCTTCTATAGCAACGAGCTGCTACTATAGCAACGAGCTACTACTATAACAATGAGCTGCTACTATAGCAACGAGCTGCTACTATAGCAACGAGCCGCTTCTATAGCAACGAGCTGCTTCTATAGCAACAAGCTGCTACTATAGCAGCGAGCTGCTACTGTAGCAACGAGCTGCTTCTATAGCAACGAGCTACTACTATAGCAACGAGCTGCTTCTATAGCAACGAGCAGCTTCTATAGCAACGAGCTGCTACTATAGCAACGAGCTGCTTCTATAGCAACGAGCCGCTTCTATAGCAACGAGCTGCTACTATAGCAACGAGCTGCTTCTATAGCAACGAGCCGCTTCTATAGCAACGAGCTGCTTCTATAGCAACGAGCCGCTTCTATAGCAACGAGCTGCTACTATAGCAACGAGCTACTACTATAACAATGAGCTGCTACTATAGCAACGAGCTGCTACTATAGCAACGAGCCGCTTCTATAGCAACGAGCTGCTTCTATAGCAACAAGCTGCTACTATAGCAGCGAGCTGCTACTATAGCAACGAGCTACTACTATAACAATGAGCTGCTACTATAGCAACGAGCTGCTACTATGGCAACGAGCTGCTACTATAGCAACGAGCTGCTTGTATAGCAACGTGCTGCTTCTATAGCAACAAGCTGCTACTATAGCAACAAGCTGCTACTATAGCAACGAGCTGCTTCTATAGCAGCGAGCGGCTTCTATAGCAACAAGCTGCTACTATAGCAACGAGCTGCTTCTATAGCAGCGAGCGGCTTCTATAGCAACAAGCTACTACTATAGCAACAAGCTGCTACTATAGCAACGAGCTGCTTCTATAGCAACAAGCTGCTTCTATAGCTAAGAGCCGCTACTATAGCAGCTAACTGCTTCATTAGCAACGAGCGGTTTCTATAGCAACGAGCTGCTTCTATAGCAATGAGCTGCTTCTATAGCAACGAGTGGCTTCTATAGCAACGTGTGACTTCCATAGCAGCGAGTTGCTACTATAGCAGCAAGCTTCTTCTATAGCAACGAGCTGCTTCTATAGCAACAAGCTGCTTCTATAGCTAAGAGCCGCTACTATAGCAACTAACTGTTTCTATAGCAATGAGTGGTTTCTATAGCAACAAGCTGCTTCTATAGCAACAAGCTGCTTCTATAGCAACAAGCATTTTGTATAGCAATAAGGAGCTTCTATAGCAAGAACTGCTACTATAGCAACAAGCAACAAACGATCGGCTTCTATAGCAACGAGGGGCTTATATAGCAACAAGCTGTTTTTTTCAGTTTTTTTTTACTGTCATTCTACCGTCTCAAGTTCAGAGCCATGAAATCAACTCTCTGCATTTAACCCCTCCCCTTGGGGAGCAGTTGGCTGCTATTGTGCAGCTCCCAGGGAGCATAATAAAATACAAATAATTAATCACAAAAACATTAAATAAAGTGGTGTATAAAGATATTATTATCCAACATGGGTTGGAGTGAACTAATCCGGTGAAGCGAATCTTAATGTTCAGTAAACAGGAAGGTGAGGTAGCTAGCTAACATGGACCACAGATCATGAAGGTTCTAATGAATGTGTTCCAGTCTAAAAACAGTTGATCTTATTGTGATTCCTCAAATGCATAAAAGACGTTGATGGGAACCTGTTTGCCCGGCATGCTAAAAGTCAGTTCTCCTGATTTCTCTGCTTCAGATGAAAGGAATTCCACTGATAGCTGGACTGCAATCATCTAATCAGCTGTGCTAAACCAGCGAACCTGCAGGAGCGACTCTGGACAGGCCTGCCTTATAATGACAGTCTCTAAATCTGTCCATTCAGTAGTAAAAACATTTATAGATTAAGAAGGTGTTTTCTAATTTAATTTTATGGAACAAACGCTGGAGATGTTTCACATCCTGTGGGTTTAAGGCACAGAGAAGTTTTAGTTTCTGAAATGAGAGGCTAAGAATTCTTTAGTTTTGATGCTTTTCTTTAACAAAGACATTTGATCATCTTCATCCTTCTTCTAAATCAGCCGTCTTCTGTTTTCACAGCTTGCATCACATTATTCCTCTTATTCACTCACGAGTATAAAATCCTCAGGATTTGGTCATTCTGCTTAATCTGCTGCCTGTAAATCATCTATTAGTCAGATCCATCGTTCTGATTGGCAGAATAATTTTTTATTATCATTAACTTAACATAAGCCTTAGAAAGTAAATGACCTGTTTAGCTAATATAGCTCTGATGTCTCACAGTTGATTGGCCAACAGCTTTGCTTTCACAAGCAGAGCAGTGTTACTGCTGCCATAAGGTT